AGTAAGCACAAGTATAATAATGAAATGAAGAATGATAAATAAATATAATGAAATAAATATAATTAATGAACAGGTACCGGAGAGTCCTGTATAAATATAATGTGCTTACATGTGTATGTACCTTACGATTATAATAAAGAAATATTTAAGCAAAATAAAATGTATTATGTGTACCTAGATATAGAACAGTGAGTAAGAGATTATAATAAGTTGTAAAAGAGATAACAGTTGTAAGTCTTATGATTATTTCAGTTGTAAGAATAATTTACCAAATTATTTTCAAAATATACCTATAACTTGAATCGTAAAATGTTTAAATATTGTCAACAATGCGAATATTTTAAGAAATAATTATATATGTTTGTTTTAATGAAAAAAAAATATATAAATAAATATTTTTTTTTCCAAAAAAACGGGGGAGGTGTAGTGTGTGTGACACCTCGCCCTATAAGTTAGTAGTGTAAGTTAGTTATTGGGTACTCAATTAAAGTTATTCATAAGAACAACATGTCTCCCTCATTGCTCCACATTGCAGATACAACCATAAAAACACCGGAACACTGAAGTCCGGCGCGTCGTAAACATGAATAACTGTCTTGGTTCCCGCAACGTAATAAATCAGAAGATATTATAAGAGGAGAAGGAAAAGAAATGTGATCTAAATACTGTCTAGTGTGGAGACTATCACAAATCCCTCTTACATTATGAAATAACAGATATAGGAATACTGCTACTACCTAGGAACGTTATTAGTAATACTAACTGGTACCTGTTTTTTTAGGTCCTATGTCAAAAGGGGTGATTTTACTTATATTACTTAAGGGACAATTCCTGACTTCATATCCCTGTTATGATTTTTTTAAAGTGAATGATAAGTTATTATTATTTTGCATAATTCTTAAGCCAAAAATTAAATATGTCCATAATGTTAAATTAACGAAAATGTATAGAAATATAGTATGCTTTGTTAGATTTCTTAACACTACAAGTCTTAACTAAGACAAAGTAATATTGTAAGTAAACAAGTTATTTTGAAAATAATAAAAATGTCTGTTGTTTATTTTGTGGTAAGAGAACAATGAGTATTTATTAAAAGTATTATTTACAATTGTAATAGTTAGTTTCTATTTTAGCATGACATAATGCACTTTGTTTCACATTATACGTAAGAAGTATGTGTAGTCATGAAGCGTTAATATTTTTATTATTTCTAACAATTACTACACGCCCAAAAACAAATTTAAAAATATTACTATTGCATTTAAACTCAAATGATATAATATTTCAATGAAATAATAGTATTAATATATTTCAATAATTAATTAGAGCAATAAAAATGAACACATTAAAGAAATTACCATCAATTATAATACATTTTTGTATTTATCGATGATTTTTACGTATAAGACGCATAAAAATGAAATCAAAACACGCTAATAACAATCTGATATGACATAAAATGAATGAAAAATTTATAACATGCAAGTGTCGCAATCGATTTTATCACGCGATAGTTTTTAAATTCATAAATACAAAGAATAATCTGTGACGCAGTTAAATGTAACTAAGCGTTTCGAACCTAGGTCAAGTTGTGACCTAGGTTTCAGACCGGAACCGGAATAAAAAAAGTAAATCACATTGATAACCCAAGATATATATCATAACATATAGGAAAGGTAAACACCTACGCCATTAATACTCACTCAGACAAAAAAACACTCACTAATAAAAACTCCACACAACGAACGTAATAAAAAAAAGAATTTTACTATCTCTACTTACGATTCGCGGGGTTTTTGTAACAGAAAACACGGAAAAATAAATTAAATTTGTGCGGACGAGTTCTCGCGTCCCGTTGTTATGGCTGACTGACGATGTCGAGGTATATTCAACAGATGATATTTGTACTTCAGCTGCGTTTACTACGCATGCGTCAAAACTCGGCGAATCGATAATTACCGTGAATGAGTTTATATCGATATTTGTACCTTATTTTAATTAATCGATTAGATTTGTGGTCGGTATTGTACCTGATTGGTGGCATTTTGGTATGATTCAATTGGTTCGGTAAATATAATAATTTTATGGTGAAATTGCGTGCCTTTATTTTAACTCAATAGATAACGTCACAATTTTAATTTCGTTTACACTGGTAAACAGTTTCGAAGGCTTATTTATTCCAATTTGAAGAAGAATGAAAACTCGTGGGCGATTCCACCCACGAATTTCAATTTTCTAGTTCGATAATTATTAAAATATTTATATCAACCCTTATAGGTTGACCTTCATTGAAATTGGATTTATTTTTGATCATTTTTATTATTAAACAAAATGTAAAAAGTACTTTTAATTGTTATTTGCATTATAAGTGTAAACATTTGAATTATATAAAATTGAAGAGAAATATGATACAATTTACAATATTTTTCAATAATTCGTAAAATATATTAAAATGTAACCTTCTCCATACTTACTTTTAGAGTAATAAAATAATCTGAAGTTAAACAAGAAATGTATACCTATTCAATCTTTATAATTTCGATTTATCATTAAATCAAAAAGTTCCGTTGAATAAAATTATAATTCAGACATTTTGATTATAAAAATAATTAGCATAAATTCACAAATACCGGTAGTTCGAAACCGATAAAATTAAGTCGACTGTCGAATTATTATAATCTTTTAATTAGATAATAATATTTTTATTTCGATTTTAAAATGGCATCCGTTCGGACTTTGAATTTTCGTGATTTTTTCGAATGTTTCCTCAAATGCGGAGGTTAATAGTTGTAAATAAGTGTATATTTTCTGGTACTGTATTTTTTATAATGGAGCAAAATGTAATCATCATAATAATTCTCATTATTACATACCTATAATTACGGAAATACAATATTATTATGTTAAAAGCGAGACTAAAAATAATACTTAATAATATGTTTTTATTTTAAAATATAATGTCAATGTTATTTGGAGCAGTTTATTTAATTATTATAAGTTACTTTAATATTATTATTTTAAGAAATTATATTTTTTTATAAACATATTGTTATTGCATTATTATTTTTTATTAATCAATTGCACAATATTATAAGAATGAAGTAAATTTCATTATTAATCGTCTATTAATTTAAATTGTAATTAGTGGTAATACACACAATTAAGAAATTGAGTAATTATGCGGTTCAATATGTCATAATAATTTTTAATACCCGTAAACCGTATACAACCACCTCTTTTGTTTGAAGCCGGTTAATTAATATACTGAATCTCGGTTCAGTAGTTATTGCGTGATAGCGGTACAAACAAACAAAAAAACTCACTTTCCGATTTATAATATTAGTAAGGATTTGTAGTCGGTTAACAAAAAAAAAACACAAACAATAATTCAATTTAAATCTAGTTAAGCTAAAATCTAGACAACAATACGACATTATGACGTTGGAAAAACAAATATAATAGTTTATTTACATATACCGGTTTTAGGAATCACTCGATGACGGTATTAAGGCTCTAATTCTGTCAAAATAAACGACAATTCGTTTATTTTTGCGAAACGACGTCCAATGCATGCATCATAGACCGGTTTTGGGGATCTTCCTGTTTTACGAAGCTCCTAAGTCCGTATGATTCACTTCCTAACACGCATAGAATATTCCTAATAAATTGGTTTTGAAATTTCCAAACCCCTAATTCTAACATAACATAACATCATGCCTTTTGTCCTCGAAGGGGTTTTTTTTAAGGGGGGAAAATCATCGAATGACTGCTCCCGCCTGGGTGAGGCGGGAGGGAGTGTCAGACTCTTAATGACTAAAAACCACCCCGTTTCTTCTCCTGCACGTCGAGCCGGAGCCCCGGTTACCCGTTAGGTTCTCCGCGACATCCTCGAAGGGGTAGGCAGAGGTGCACATTACGGCACTTAATGTCATTGTACAATGTAACACCCACTTTTCACTATTTATGTTATGAGTCCCATGTAATTGGGGTGAGCCTATTGCCATATACCGGGCACGATTCCAGACTCCGTGCTACGTAACTGAGAATTATTTAAAACCCAGTAATACTTTGCCCGACCCGGGAATCGAGCCCGAGACCCCTTGCCCGGCAGTCGCACAAGACCACTAGGCCAACGAGGCAGTCTATTATTATTTCAAATTAAATTTCATATTTTTAAACTCTATTTTATGACTCACGACACTCTAAGTATATAAATGTGAATAAATTTAAATTCTATTATTAATATATAATAGAACATTAATTGTTTTTATTATTATAGTGAGTCATTGACCTTAAGGTAACAGGTTATCTAGATTTAAACTTATTTTAAGCCTATACTGAGTTTATACCTACATTATTGTATTAAAAATAAAATTGACTAATGGCTGAATAATAATCCTTTTTTAGCTGACTTCAAAAAGAAAAAAAAGTATGTCTCATTTTGACTTATAGGTACGTAGGTATGTTTGTCCGCAATTATCTCGCGATAGGCTATACCGAATTTGTTGAGGTTATCAGAAAAGTGTTCGTTACATTTGGGAGAAGGTTTTAGTATACAAACAAGAGGGGTTTGAAGTCAGTTTATTTAAACGTAGTTAGTAAAAGAAGTGTTGATTTTTGTTGTTATATGGAAAAAAAATCAAAAAGATATAAAGAAACAGACTGAAGGTTTGTTATGAAGAACGCCTATGTAAACAGCAAAGCTATGTATCATTCATTCATAAGTACGGTACTAAGGTGAATACAAAAAAACATGCTCAACATAAAAAAAAAACTACAGGGAAAAGTGCCCAGTCATTCCACTTGAACAACATAAAAACCAGATTTTAATAAAACACACGATTTTCCCCAATTACGAAAGCCACATAAAATGCCCCTATACCATCGAAATGACGTTACAATCGTGACGTCACTAATTTATATTTTACACAGCACATTGTTGACAATGGACCAAACGTTTGGTCCAATGACTCGGCAAATCTTTTTGTGGAAACAAGAGGCACATGACATATATTTGTGTACTGAGAATCCAATGTTTGTGTAACTTTTGACGTCATGTGTGCAGAATATGTGATTTTTGCTATCGTCATGTTACATAGTCACATGGAAGTAGATATGGTTACACATCAAGCTATACAAGACCAGTATAAATTGACCGTTGAATGTACGAATAGATTATACAAAGCGAGATCATGTTATACTGGGTTTGTACAGTTCAATGGTGTGTTCATAGGTACAGATAATACCTAAGTAGGTACATACATAAATGATGCAATGACACACAGTTAGCGGTTTTTCTATGTCGGTTTAGATTGCGAAATTTATTTCGTTGAACTAGATTTTGTACGACTTTGCTTGGGCAGATTTTTTATTTATATACTATCTCCCTGAAATTCAAATTCAAATTCAAAATTTTTATTTCAGATAAAACATCCATATTTATGTTAGTAGTAGTACAACTGAGAAATGAGAAATGGGTGCTATGATTCATTTTTTTTTAATAAAACACATTGTACTATAACAAGGAAGAAAACTAAAAAAGAATCATCAAATTCGGTGCAGCCGTTTAGAGGTTATGCTCGTACAAATAATTTGTCGATTCATATTTTAACGACAATTTTAGGTTAGACCGTAAAAAAAAATCGTTAAAAAAAACTCACTACTGATTTCTAAGGATTTCGAGGAGTCGAGAGACGAACACGATGATATTAATGGAGCCGTTGAACATTCCGACATTTTGACAATTAAAAAAGTCAGTTTAAAAATAAAAAAAATAAAAAATAAGTCCGGACTGTCACGACCACCTATTGATACTAGCGACAAATTAAGTTAATATGAGGGTAAATCATGATATTTTGTGATGTAGGTAATTGTGAAAAGTATAGACATTATGCAACTTGTGATATAGTACGGTAGTTAAAAATAACTGATATCTTATTGCTAAGGTAATCGATAAATAATTTTACTGTGGTTGCTATGGAAAAAATGTCAAGCGACTGTCTATTATTATTGAAGATGTGAATTAAAAAATATATATTTGTTTTTATTATATTTTAATATATCATAAGGAAGATATGTCAAATTATTCATCAGGTAAATTTACGTAAAGTTAAGCCTAGGGCCTTAATATTTTTTACCTATTGGTTTATTTAAAAATAAATTAATAGGACCTAGATTTCATTGCTTTGCCTTTTTTTTTCTTAAATAACGCTAGGATTTTTTCCTGTGTCGTGGGTGCGTTTACAAACACACAATCACACACATACACACCCAGACCCGAAACAAAAATTTGTCGATAACACACAGAGTTGCTCCCAGAATCGAACCCGCTACACGTTGCGCGGCAGCCGGTTGCCCCGTCACCGCACCAACCGTGCAGTCATTAAATTGTAGATTGGACAGACAGACATATTTATATGTATTGTATGTATTACCGTTTTTTAAAAGTGCACTCGTTGCTCTAATTAAAATGAATTTATTATTGTACTTGGACTTTGATCAATGTCTGGTCAAACATAAATATAATGCGTTTATGCCAAATGGTAATAGGCAGAGTTTAACATAATTTTTTAGGACATTGATCTTTGAGTGTCATAGAGCCATGCTTCGGCACGAATGGGCTGGCTCGACCGGAGTGATACCACGGCCTCACAGAAAACCGACGTGAAACAACTTGCGTTTAGTTGTTAATATTTATATATTATTATGTTTACTAATTGTTTCGTCCTTTCAGCTACTCTACTCTACTAAAACTACCGCAAAGTTAAGTTCGACGGTTCATTAATCTGCCGTCACCATTTGACACTGGCAGTATAGTTGACAACATCATATTGGTGACTCGGTTGCCAAGAAAGCAAAGAAGAGAAAAAAAAACACTGACGTTGTGTTTCG